GACGTTCCTTCAGTTTGGTACTTTGCCTCTAATCATTGCTCTCATTTTGCTGTCAGAAAATTTTTCATCCATGTCAGTAGTCTGCCTGACATGTAGTCCTGCATGTTCTAGTTTCCGGAACAGGGGCCAGATTCATGAAGTACAGTTACGCAAGCACTTACGAATCTGAACATCTTTTCTCAATCTTTGGCAGCCTTGTTTACAATTATTAAACAGTTAATGAGCTCCGAGCACTGTGAGGCTGTTTGTAACAATAACAACAGTTGATTGGGAAGTTTTCATGCTTGTAAACTGTTTAATAAATATAACCAAAGACGTCAAAGATTGAGGAAAGATGTACACGTTTGTAAGTACTTGCGTAACTGCTTCATGAATCTGGCCCCAGGGTGATTCATGAAGTAGGACTCCATCAAAGATTTTTTTTTAGGACCAGGTAGGTGCAGTTTAACCCTCTCTTTCTTGTAAGATCTCTGTGGCTCTTATCATAAAAGCCAAGATTATTTTGTTACACATGCATTGATGGAGAGAATTAACAGGAACAGATTTGTTTGTACAATACAATCTTCTTACATATTTCCTTATGTCACTTGTGTGGGATGTGCAGGTGTTTCATATGTTTGACAGGAAATCTATTAGGTTTATCAAGATCCAAGTATCCCTGGGTAAGGCTGTCTATGTGGTCACCCATCCAGTTACTGATTAAAACCAATTGTTCTTAACCTGACTGATTAGGTGACGTGCATGTACTCAGCTGTGCCATGATTTGCATATTGAGGTACATTTGAACCAATTACCTTGGATATCCAAGACTCTACATGGTTTTAAAAAATTAGGCTCATCGCTAGTACAAATTCTGTTATGTTACTATTCATATAATATTCTTGTCGATTCATTTCGTCAATCTTTTGAAAAATAACTTAAAAACTAATATTATGTTAGTGATGTATGAGAAATTCGATGAAAGTTTGTGTGCATAAAAGAATTGGCAAAACATCTGAAAATTTGTCATCAGAGGCAGACTCGACTTGATCTTTTAAAACATTTAGTATATTAACCCTTATACAGCCATGGACAATTATGACCATTTGTTTTTGTGTTGCTCTGGTGTGGTTTTTCACCAGAATACTCATTGCACATCAAGATATTTACCCTGATAATTTGAACCACCAATCATGTATGAGTTATAATGTGATGGTTGTCAACAATAATCAGTAAACAAGCATAAATCGGTTGTGGGGAAATTATATATAAATTAAATTTTAAATTGGGTTTTAAAGGTTTTATTTTGTTTGTTTTCTACAATCATCCCAAAACTCTTTTTATGATTTTGAAAATTCCAACTATAGTATTAACTAAGTAGTGTAACGGTTAAAATTAGTAGCCTCATATCTTTTATATTCAAGAGTTTGATCAAGAACTCTGTAATGCAGTAAAATGAAAATCCCTACATAATTTTTATTTTTCTTTCTCGTGTACCTTACTACATTTCTCTCTCTTACACGGTCACTTGTTACACTTGCATATTGATATGAGGCTAAATGTCTCTCTCTCTCTCTTTCTCAGTCTTTCACGTCCCATATCTTCTGGCTTTCATTAAGTCTAGAGCAGTTGATATAGTAATACGAGAACCTCTGGCATTCACTAAATCTTGCTGCTTTAGTTTAGTAAAATAATGACCTCTGACATTTGCTAAATATTGGTTGCAGTTAATGCAGTAACATAAACTGTTCATGCTGATTCTTTTAATAAATGCTTGTTGATTTATTAAACAATTGTTGGTTTGAGCTACAGTATATTGCTTCTTATATTTCTAGTCATGGTATTCTAAGTATTTTTTTTATTTTTTCAGATAGCATAATTTTTTATGATGAAAATAGCTGCATATGCGTTAAGGGTCATTATATGAATCTTGAGTAACTGATTGCCTGTGGTTATATATAAATAATAAATTATTGTTTAGGAGTGTGCATGCTCATTGTAATAATTGTTGCTTCTAAGTATTGTTACTTCTTTAGTTTATCATTTAGTTCTTCATTGAAGGAGAATAGTTGCATTCATTTATAGCTGTAATTCTCTAGTTACCCTCATCAGTGCCCTTAATATTAAATACGTTAACTGAGAATTGCATGGAAAAAATCACAACCTGAATGTTGCGTAAGGATAAAAATTGAATTCTTATAGTAATTAGCCGTTTTTACACCATTGATATGATTTGTTTTTCTTTTGCTCTCCATGTAAATTTTATTTTCCTGTAATTACCGATATGTGTATTACTACATAACCATGTACTGTGTCTTTGAGTGTGAGTGATTATGTTGTATGCAGAAAGACTTGTATATTCTCTGGTCATAAATGTGTTCTGTTATGTGTAATTAAAATAAGTTACTGCTGTAGTTGATGTGGTTTTACACACTTGTCATATACATTATCAGCTTTTGACATGTGAACTGTAACAAATGCAACTATTCTGGGTTTACAATGCAGCAGAACATCCAGTACAATCAACTTTTAAGTTTATTTTAAGAGTAGATATTGAGCATTCATTGAAAATGCAAGTTGTGCTTTGAGTGAACAAGTAAAGTTCCACTCTATGCAAACTACTCAGATGCTCCTTAAAACAAGATCAATTAAGGTACCATTGGGCAGGGTCTTGATAGAGTATGGTAATATTTTGCTCCAGTGGTAGAGGGACATTTTAAAATGTACCTATCAAGTCAATCTGATATTATGCAGTTACTGGTGGAAACCTCAATGCAGCCAAAGGTAACTACAGAAAGGTCACTTATAAATACTCAGAGCCTTACAAAGCCCCACTTTGCATCTCCAGAATCTCAGAAATGCAGTCTCAGCATCTCGAGGCTGCCAAACAAAACTTTGGCAGACCATAATTTTCCCATTTCGTCGCTATTCCTGACTGCCACTAGACTGCAACACTTAGGTCAACCCAGGTCCTTTCTCTGTCTTAAGCCTCATCAAAATCTGACAAGAATAAAGAAAACGCTGTACACAAGGGATTCCGAAACTCTTTGATGGAAATTGTAGCATCTAAGTATTTGGCCCATAAAAGATCTTTTGATATTCACTTAAAGCCTGGTTTATGAGTTATTTCACTCAGATGTTCCCTAAGGAAAGCTTGAAGAAAAGTAAAAAGTTGTGCAAACAAAAGTTTTAATAATAAAAATTAACCTGAGTTTCAGTGGAATCCTCTCTGCAATAAGCAGAGAGGATTTGGAATACAGTACAAGGATTTTCAGCCAAAGTTTCAACAGCTGAATCACTGGAAGTGCGATTCAAATAATTCTTCCAGACTTGATGACTTGAGTCAAGGGCAAATTCTGGCTCTAAAAGAGGTCCTCTGTTATGTCTCCCCAGAAGCTACGGGTGGAACCAACAGTGCTTACATGCTCTTAAGCTCAAGTCATAGGTCCTAAGATTGGTATTGTGTTTGCCACCTGTTGGTGGTTAGTAGTAGCACCAGGTAGACAACTAGTGATTTGCAAGAGTGCTGTGTGGTGGTCCTTGAGATGCTAAGCAGGGTTTGGAAAAGCTTTTAGTGTCATTTCTATAGTCATGCTTGGCTAGATTGAGCTTTTCTTCAGTGCTTCCTAGCACCTGTATGACCCAAGAGGGACATTGAAAAGATCACTCCTGAACCAGTCCAGAATATTACCCTGCCTTGTCTACTGTATTATGAATCCATCCAATGGAACCTGCAATGATTTTTGCCTTGGGTATCATTTAGCTGGAATAGCTCAGAAAATATATTATATACAGATAAGGACTTGTGAGATATATTACCATATATTGTTAACACACTACTCCGCATGATGTTGAAATCCTCAATATTTTATACAGTATTCCTATTAATCCTCCTCGTGATAGAAAATTATTAAAATTTGATAGCTTCTTCAGTATTTATTTTTGTTTTGGGTCCTATGATTGTAGTCTCAAGAAAACAAACAAATCTCTCTAGGATATGAAAACATTATAAATGTAAAATTAAATAGTTTTTCTTTTGAAAATGTAATTGATAAATTCCTTATGATAATTTTATCTAACAATAGTATTTTCTTTAATTAGTGTAGGATACATAAAAGACTATTGATCTGTAAAGATACATTTGAATAGCGTATAATAGTCTAGTATGTAGAGGCCTTACTTTTAGTTCTACCCAGACCTATGCAGAAAAACTTAGTTATTAGATACCTCAGATTTCAGTATGTTTTGACTAAGTGCAGAAGTGCAACTAACTTGGAGCAAGTCATCTTTCTTAATAAAGCTACCAGATAATAAGCACAGTATTGTTATTTTTGTTTCAATTATTGATTTTAAAAATGTCCAAAAGATTGGTCTTCCTCATACTGAAAACCTAAATAGATAGCTACTAACACCTGTGTATGTTTAAGTAAGTGGTGAAAACTTACTTTTAAAACCTCTCTCCTCATTTTCTGAAGCAATAGATTATACATAGTTACAATGTTTTGGTTAGAAAATTTTCAATTTTCTGTAGATCCATATTTTGTCCTCTATATGCTAAATATACAAACATTCCATTTTATCTAGATAACCCTCTCCTGACTAATCTCGTCTCCAGTACCACTGTATTTGCTCTTTTTGTGATTTCCCCGCCCGCAGCCTGTTTGTCATGGTAACTCTCAGGCATACGGTTAATTGTCTGCCCTTCAAATAATTATTTTATTTATTTTTTGCTTTGATCTTTTATATTTGCATCATCTTAATCTTATACCACCTTGTGTACAAGGGAAGTGGTATCTCTGTTTCTTAATCTTTCTAATATCTGAAAGAATTTTGAGGAAAGAGTATTTTTGTAATTAGCAGCATTATATTTTTTATGCAGTAGTAGCAGTAATAGTATATTTATCATATAGTAAATTTGAAATCTTATACTGTAATGTAATGAAGTATTGTACTAAAATTTCATGTATAATTTTTACATTTAGATTCAACTTCTTAATCATTAACTGTTTTTTCTTGTTCAGGTTTCTCAAGAGCTTCCTACTTGAAAAACAAAGTCAGGAAACAAGGTGCCTGTCAGAATTTTTGGAAAGCAGAAAAGAGATTAAGGTAGGAGAACACCCTTAATTCTCAGTGAAACTGATTGCGATATTTGTACAGTATTTTGATATTATAAATTATTGTTGCAAAATTTATAATGATTAAATAATGGAGCATAAAGAATGGATTATCATCATCCCTTACTTATTAGAGAATAAAAAAAGATATATTAAGGATTCTCAAGTCATATTTTATCTTTAATTACATCAAAAGAAAAAATCATCCTGTATCTTCCATTTAAATTAATAGTTCATTTGAAATCCTAAATCTTTTTTTAATTCTAATAGTTCCTGCCTTGTTGTGCTCAGATTTGGTATTAGACGGACGGTGAAGCAGCAGTGGTTCTACTGGTTTGTTATTATACTTGTGTTCCTCAATACTGCGTGTGTTGCAGCGGAACACTACAACCAACCCAAGTGGCTCACAGATTTTTTATGTAAGGCTCCTTTGCTTTAATTATATTATCTGCAGTAGGGATATTTAAATAAAAAATGTTATGGATATTTCTTTTCTGTTTCTTTTGACTACTTTTCAGTATCTCTTGAATGTCTTATTGTATTAACTTTTAACATAACATACTTAAGTTTGAGAAAAGCAGTATGACTACTGTTCAAATTTTGCCGCATAAAATTTTTTCTGTGAGGACTCCTATTGGTGGCTACTTGGTGATGGCTCTACCCAGTTCAATCCTCGATCACCCTAACCAAGAAAAGGACACCAAATAGGTGGGCAAACCAAAATAGACAATCAGCAAGGTAAACAAAGCATAGAAAACGAGACAACTAACCCCAGAAATGAACAAATCATCTGGTTGTGAAGTAATTACCATAAAATACAAGTTTATTCAAAAGAATATATAAAAAAAATTGTCTTGTTAGTTCCACCTGTGCACCCACCCCATTCTCCTAAGGTTTCCTAGTGTCAAGAAACTGTCTACTAAAATGCCCTTATCCTAACCTACTAGAGTGGAAGATTGGAATAAAATCACTTGTGCCTTTCTGAAGATATCTTTCCTTCAAACAGTACATATCTTCCAAATAATACAGGTTTGCACAGAAATTCTTCATACTTTGTGATTGTGAAACAGGACTGGTCATTGAAATGATATTGCATTCTGGTACTGTGAATTCTGAAGTACTGCATTCTAGACATTCTGAATAATGATCTTCACGGTTTCTTTGGCAGTGTAGTAAAGATGCTGATAACTTTACTGCTGAATAAGGGTCACATTTATATACAGGCAGATATAAGAATAGTATGACCCCAGAACCTGTAAGATATGCATGAAATGGTTGTCTACATTTTTTTGCTTTCCATCAGGGGGGGGGGGGGGGATCTACTTATTGAATGGACCTTCATCTCTGAAAGGATGTTTTCGTACCCACTTTTGCAGGGTCAGATAGACGTGGCCTTTTTCCTGCTCAAGTTTCCAACTGGGAAATAATGAGGACCCAGAGCTCAGGTTCAGCTAGAATTCCTGGGTTCCAGATTCATTTACGCCAATTCACGACAGTTACGCAAACACTTACGAACCTGTACATCTTTTGTTAATCTTTGGCGGCTTTGTTTACAATTATTAAACAGTTAATGAGCTCCGAAGCACCAGGAGGCTGTTTATAACAATAACAACAGTTGAATGGGAAGTTTTCATGCTTGTAAACGGATTAATAAATGTAAACAAAGCCGTCAAAGATTGAGGAAAGATGTACACATTCGTAAGTGCTTGCGTAAGTGCTTTCGTGAATCTGGCCCCAGGCCTCCTGGCTCCCTGCTGTTCAGGCCAAGGGGAAGGGGGAGGGGGATGGTACTTGAGGCTTTGCCATTTGTGGAATATTGACCTGGTTTCTTAAGTAAGCCCAAGAAGTCTGGATTTAGTATCTCCACTAGTTTCCTGGCTACTTTGCTACATATTAAGAACATCATGATTATTAGATATTGACTTGTTGATGGATGATAAATGTGTCATGTCTTTTTGTCATCTGTGCGGCATAAAATGGAAGTAGGCGTCAAATTCATGGAACTTTGTAAACAGCTGGGACCATCCCCATCAACTTTATGCCCATCTCACTTACCCTTTTGGTATACTGCTACCACAATCAACCAGTCATTCTCTCCCTCTGTATGTTTTTTATTTTAAAATGCTTTTCACAATTAAATATGTCAATAGGTGGAATAGTAAATTTTATTAGTATTTTGTAAGAATATTTACAATATTGTCTGTGCAACAACAATCACAAAAACACTGATCCATGTATGTTGAAAAACCACATTTGAAAAACTAAAGAATGCTGAATGTGTTTTCGGAGAAGAGACTACGAGAAATTGCGGTTAGTTGTACAATTAAAGAGTTTAGGAAAAAATTATTAACACTGATGTAATTATATGCTCACCTAGCTAACCATGCTGCATTATGTACTGAATCTTCTGCACACCTACATAGTAAAAATTAACATTGTGATAGTTATCACAAGAAATATATGTTTTAGAGAGGATAAGATGTTTATTCAGGTAAAGACACATACATTGAAAATGAGTTACAAACGTAATGTTGGATTTAGAGATAAAGCTAATACATACAATGCCTGAAACCACTAATATGCACAGCATTTCGGGCAAGTTGTGGGAAAAAACTTAGACTAAAACTTAATACTAATTGAGATCAAAAGCATAAATTGAATTGAAAAAAGGGAAAAAAAGAAAAAAAAAAGGAGAGTGATAACAATTACATGATGGATGGAACAGCAGAAAATGCAACAGAACAGCAGAAGGAATTTTAACTAAATAAACAGAAGACTACAATTTTATTTAAGTTTATACATGGCAGAAATTTGCAGTTAAATGAGTTTATGAGATATTTCACAAGTATAACATGCTAAAATTGGCTTGCATCTTGTTACCTATTGTTAATACCTTCTACGGATATTTGCAGGAGTGAGCATTTGACAGAAGAGTACTCTTATCATAGTTGTAAACAAGTATTGTATAATTGTTTTTAAATATTGCTAGAAGTTATTCAAGAAGATATTTAAACCATTTCTTTAATGTCTTAAATATAGTTTATATGTTATTGTTGGAATTAGTAATAAGAAACACAGCTTACATTCTTTAACATCACATAACTTTTTAATTTAATAATAAATAATTATCACTTATGTTTAATTCTCTCTTCTTTTTCAGACTATGCAGAATTTATATTTCTAGGTCTATTCATATCTGAAATGCTTATAAAAATGTATGCCCTCGGCCCAAGAATGTATTTTGAGTCGTCGTTCAATCGATTTGATTGTGTCGTCATCAGCGGTTCCATATTTGAAGTGGTGTGGTCAGCCTTCAAGTCCGGGTCCTTTGGTCTATCTGTGTTGAGAGCCTTACGTTTATTGAGGATATTTAAAGTTACAAAGTAAGCATGTTAATCATGGTTTAATTTTGTTATTGAATGAATTGACCCTTTCACTGCCATGAACAAAATGTTTTGGTTAAAATAATAATTCTCAGACTACCATGAATAAAAAGGCTCACTTGCACTTAATTGGTGTGGTTTCATCTAAGAATAGTCATTACTATCCTTAGATGAATATTCTAGCTAGCTATTCATTACATTACTAGCTAGCATCTCTGAAAATTAGAACCAATGGTTAAAAGTTTTTGTTACATGAGGCTCCACACTCATGTGGAAATTATTCTCTAGGGAAAGTTAAGTTGGTTAGAGAAGGTTTCAGGGTAATTTCTTTATTAGAATGAATGAAATGGGAAGAAAATATATTGTCACTCCTGGCTATCACCTTGTTTACATGTGTTTACATGTTTAAGTGATGCATATGTACACCAGTTATTTTTCCTTTTATGAACATATATACAATTTTAGTTTGAAATTACTTTTCTGGATGGGCTGAATGGAGGCTTCCTGTTGCTAGCTGCATTGAGACAGCTCCACACATATGTCTCATCAGCCCTAGAAGTCCTTAATAACCTACTACAGACTAGAGACCAAAACCTGACAGGGAGCAGGGGATTCTAGATCACTCACATCAAAAAAAGAAACCTTCAGAAAGTAAGTGAAGCAAACCAGACAATTGGCAGATTTATAGAAGGTAAACAAATATGGCAGCAAATAACTTCAAAAGTGATCCACCTAGTAATTAAGTCAACTCTCCTAATTACCACTGGCAACATCATGGGACCTGACAGCTTTCCATGTCAACAATGATCAATCCTTTGCCTGATTGCAGACATGTCTGACCTGCTCCCTGAGTTGCTGGCCCATCAGGTCCCATATTTTTAGATAAGTGTTGGTTACAGTATCCTTTGAACTCTGTCTTGTGGAGAAACCCATTTTTATGTGTATCATTTCAATATTTAGTGTTTGTTTCATGTGTTATGTGCTTACAGGCCTCACTTGTTGTGTGGACTTTCGAAACTGTTCATCTTGAACTGCACGTGCCCTACACTAAGCACAAATTGATGTTGCCCCTACATTTGACAGGGTTGTTTCCCCTGGTGTGTTCAGGTGTTTGGCCCATAAAGGCCAGCCTCCAGTGGAGGGTGCCTCACCTTGAGTAGTGCAAGGGTCATTGACTCCTCTGTAAGATGCTGAGATTGAGGTCATTCTGGTATTATTGTTTAAGGGGGTTCACTAGGGTTCACATGCTTGACCATAGGGCATGCCAGAGCTTGACCTTACAGCATGCTATTGATGTCCTTTACAGCCATTTATTTTGGTGTGCTGCATTCAGTTTTGGGTCTTTTATCGAGCATCCCTAGTACCTAGGTATTCTGCTGAGTCTTTATTTCCAGGTCCCTTGTAAACCCTGCTGGTCTTTGGTGTGGTTCATTATTGAACAGCCCGTTAAGCCTGCACTTAATATTTAAGAGTTTGAGGGATATCCATTGGTGTTGCTTCACACCGATGGTCATTCAGCCACCATGCTGCCTGTTGGGTGAGTGATACCTTCCACCCCAAGGCACGCAAAGTTTGTGTTCACTGGGTTTTTTTCTTGCTGAGCCTCCTTCCAGGAAAGAGGCTTATCAGCCAGCTACTATTTTATGGATTTGTTTTGCCAGTGTTCGTGGTTTACAGCTGGGTGTTCAAGTAGATCCTCTGGAGTTGAGCAGCTGGTAAATTCCATATGTTCTAAGTTTGCCCCTTATTCTCTTTCCCTGGTTCTGTCTGGCATAGTTCATCAGGGCTCTTGTCTCGCCCCTTTTGTTCTGGACTCCGCAACAACTGAAAGTTTCAGTCTGGACGGGGTTTAGCTGTGGGTGTAGATATGCCATCTCAGGGGTTTCTCCTTTCCATAACAGCAGTGGAGTCAGTTCAGCCATTATAATAATATAAAATTTTATTCATTGTGTCGGGGACAGGAAGCCAGAGTGTATTCATACACGTTTGGCTTTTATCGAAGTCCACCAAAAGGCCGAATTACTGACCCTGCCCAGGACACAAGAAGTTGACTAACTCCTGAGTACCTACTCACTGCTAAGTGAATAGAGGCATTAAGTATAAGGAAATGTGCCCAACCATTTCTATCCTACCTGGGATTTGAACCCGGAATTCTTGATTGTGCATCAAGGACAAACCCGACTGTACTACCAGGACCCATATATCTTCCCACTGGGAATCTGGAGCCTTGTATTTTCAGGCAGATGTATTTGGCTTCAGTCCTTTAGTTTGGGATGGTGCCTTTCTCTCTGATGGGGCATCAGGTGTGGGACTCTGCTCCCTGGGTTTGCTTCTGTATACCTTTAGAGTCCTCCGATGCATCTTATTTCAGGACTTTTTATCATCCCACCTTCTGTTGCATTTGGCTTGGTCAGACTTGTTTCAGTTCTTCCTGCAGGATCAGAACCTCACTTCCTTGATGAAGCAAAATATCAATGACCGGTATAAGGTTCCTGGCTTGTGGACAACCCTTTCTTTTCCTTGGGGGCTTGGCATGGCTTTTGTCATACCTAAACACTTGAGTGATGAGAAGTGGGCTCCATCTTTCAGGTATTCTTCGTAGGCAAAACTTTTTTCAGCACCAGAGTTTTGCCTAGTCATTCAGGTTCTGGCTGGTAATGTAGACAGTGGCAGTTCTGTGTAGAGTTGTGCATGTTCTCTGGTGCCCGGGCTGCAGAGGATCACAGGACCCCATCTACACTCGGCATCCATTTTTGAGCATCTGCGCTGTGGTTGAGCTGTTGTCTGACCAGCTTCGGGGTGGCCTGGATGTTTTGACTTCAGTGTTAGGTGTTGCAGCTTTGTTACCTGCAGTTCAAGCCATTGAAGCTTTTCCCAAGTTGCTCGCTCCTCTCTTCAACCTCATTCAGCAGATCGGTGCGAATATGTTCCTCGCTGGTTTGAGGTTCTCCTCCGATCTTTGCATCTGGAGTTTCTGATGCTGGTCTGTCGCCATATGTATGGTGTACAGAATGCCGAGCTCTGTCTCATATCTGCTGCATTGTTTGTTTACCTTTTGTGAAATTTGAAATTGTCTATTTTTCTTTGCTTCCTTTCTAGGGGGTTTGTTCCTTCAGTGAGAGTGATCTGGTTTCTGTTGAATTTGCAAAAGACCCAGTTGGTTTAAATACATGTTTGGACCTGGTTTGGTCTGGTGTGAGATTCTCGGTCAGCTGTCCTCTCTCTCTTCCACTTGCATCCTTGCTCAGTTGGATGCTCATTTCTAGGTGGTGGTGTAGAGTCCCCTGGGCACCTGTCACTTGCTCGAGTGGCTGTTCAGAAGTCTGAAATTTATCTGCATGGTTTATCCTGTGGGCAGAGTTTAGCTTTGGCTGTTGCACCGCTTTCTTTGATTTTGTTTTTTTCACCGCTGCTGGGATCATGGGTGGAGGCTCCATAGGCACTTTGATGGTGTCTGGTTTACCAGTTTCTTATTTGGGGTTTTGTCCTGTGGTGCCTCCCTTTCTCTGTGCTCAATTCTTTTATGGATGCTAGGTGAGTGTCCTACACTTGCCTAGCAGTTTGACATGTTTTGTTTCATCTTTTGTGGGGTTCATTGTCCAGCTCCATGCATACTGCTTCCTGGTATTTCATTGTTTAAATGCAAAGAGTCAATTCAGCCTCTTGCCTTATGGGCCAGGAGGCTTCATGTACCTCATCTTCTAGATTTTCAATGTTTGGCTCATCATGTGATTCATGTTTGGAGTGAGTCCAATATTCTGGCAGAGAGCTTCTCATTTTCGCCCCATCCCCACACAGTGCACCATCGAAAAGTGGCTTTCTGTTGGTTGTGCGAGACGTTCGGCTACCCCAAGGTGGACTTCTTTGTGTCAGAATGGAACCGACAGCTTCTGGTTTCCGTGGCTTCATTACTCGATCGTAAGGCTCTCTATGTGGGTCCTTTTCAGCTGGACTGTGGTCAGAGGGGGTTTCTTTATTTGTAACCTCAAGTTACAAGTAAACCTGTTATAAGTTGCTCCAGGTTCTGTCAAGACCAGAGATGTTCTCCCGCAGGGAGAACATTTTCTCCTGTTGGCTTCCAGTTAGCTCCCTTCTGGCCAGCCCAGCTTTGTTTCCAGCCCTTCAGGCCCATTCTCCGAACCTGCATCATTTTTTCTAGCTCTGCCACTTTTTAATGGATAGGCCTGGAGATGTTTCTCATTTACCTTCTTTTTACAGTCTGCTGGTGGCTGATATTTTGGAGTCTTGGCTGCAGGTTTCATTTCAATGACAAAAAGAGGTTTCTTGGTGATCTTTTCATCTTTTTCTGTCTATCACTTGCCCTTGGTTTCTGTATCTGTAGTTCTGTTATTTTTGTCCAGGTTGTTTACAGGTAGGCTTCTCATGCCAAATACTGCCACTTTGTTCTGTTTGGCCTTGGCTGAGCTACTTCTGTTGGCATTTGGTGTCAATGTTTTATTGGTCCTGTTTAACAAGTTGTCGCAGGTATTTTTTCACCTCTGGCCTATTCATTCTACTCCTGAGCTGCCCTGGTCTTTAGACAGGGGTTTTATTTTTCACTTCTCTCCTTAATTTGCTGTTTCCTTTTCATTCTCGAATTGTTTCCTCAAAGCTTTGTTTTTGTTGGCCCTCATATCCAATTGTCGGGCTGGGGAGCCTCATGCTCTTCTCCGAAAGTAGGGTTTTGCTCTTTTGGTCCTGGGAGGGGTAATTTTTTTAATTTACAGTCCTCTTTTCTCAGCCTATGAATGAGATGGCTAATTTCTGTAGAGGTCCTTTAGTAATTGATGCTTGGTTGGTGAGGCCAGAGGTCTCACATTATTCCATCCATCATTTATTATGTCTGGTTGCAGCCATTTACAGTTACCTCTGTGCTGCTTGTGCTGTGTGTGGGGGGGAGGGGATGCTATTTTTGTGGATCTGGTATTCCTGGTTCCCTGTTTCAGGGCCTGATTGTCTTAGGTTACTTGTAGTGTCATCAAATTTTGCCAGCCTTTCATCCCATGATGTTTGTAAATTTGCTGCTGTTCACATTGTTTTTGTATACTGTATGTCTTTGTTGGTTATTAGGGCTTGGGGATTTACGTGGTCCCAAAGGGTCCTAGCGGCTGGTTATTTAGTGAATGTGCCTGGTCCCCGCAGGGCTTGTGTGGCTTTCGGGACAGTTAACTCGTCGCTAATTCCCACTTCCTGGGGGTTACTTCTGCAGCCATCTTCCACCTGTGGTGAGTACTCCCCTATTTTTGTCTGTGTTGACAGCACCAATGAAGCACCTAGGGATCACTTCCAGAAAACCAACATTGAATTTAATGCAATGCCTCTGTCTGGTGAGTCCCTGTGGCTGCTGAGGGCCGCTCCCTTCCCCGAACTGGGCTCCGATTTCGCATTAGCCTGGCTATATGACTGAGGAAGTATGGTTGGTGATTCATGGCAGATGGTGCACATCTCCTGGTGACATGCAGGTGGAACTGATGTAAGAATTGCTTCACGACCAAGTAGTTTGTGAAACTCGGGGCTTCATTGTCCTGTTTTCTATGGTTTATTTACCTAGCTGTTGTTTGTTTTGACTTGCCCCCACCCCTTTATGGTGGCCTTTTCTTGTTAGGGTGATTTACAATTTCCTGCTCGTTGCACCTACATTGATGGGGGTCAGGTTTTGGCCTCTGGTTCCCAGTAGGTGTATTTATGACCTGTTATGGCCTGGCATGGACTGAATTGGATGGAGCTTGCCAGGCAGCAAGCACCAAGGAGCCACCAGGACCTACCAGAAAGAGGCATTTCATTACATTCAGTGCTGGGTTTTTTAATTCCTTAGCTTAGATATTTGTTTACTGTTTTTCTCAAGGCTGATCACTTTCTATCCTATGAAACTGGGAAACAGGAGAATAAGGATAATGATGAATAAAACAAATTTGTAAGTTGTAACTTGGCAGTGAAAGGGTTCAAACTACCCACAACCTTCATATGAGATATTAATGTTAAAAGGTTTTCTGTGTTAAATTGCTTCTTTTGCTTTAGAATTTTAAAGGAAGTCATAAGACAAGTGCTGTATAGCACTTAAACTAGTTATATTTTACAACAAATATTAACCTAGAGTGCTGCTAATTGTCCTCTTGTTCAAATTAAAATGAGTAAATTTTAATTTAAAATTACATGCAAAATTTATACTGCAGATGAACGTTATTAATTTTTGCATTCTTCATGGTGAATTAGAACTATAAAATATACAGCATATGTATGATGTGTATAAATATGTATGATGTTGGACTAAGACATCATTTGTTTTGTGTTTGTAAAATAATAATAATTTTGAAGATTTCAGAAGTGCAAAACTGCTAATAAAAGTAATACATCTTTCAGGTATTGGTCCTCACTCCGGAACTTGGTAATCTCTTTGTTGAGTTCAATGCGTTCCATCATCTCACTGTTGTTCTTGCTCTTCCTGTTCATCCTCATCTTTGCACTCCTAGGAATGCAGCTTTTTGGTGGCTCTTTTAACTTTGAAAGCGAAACACCTTTAGCCAACTTCAACACTTTCTCCATAGCTCTGCTCACTGTATTTCAGGTGAGTTTGGAGATACTGTACCTTAAATCAATTTTTTTTTTGTTTTATGTATTTAATTTATTGAGTTCTAAAATATAGATGCTAGTAATAAATATTATTATTACATTATCTAATTTTCGTAAGAGATATGCACATCAGTGCTAATGTTAGTGCTTGACTGAATGCATCTTAATTCCATGTTATTGTGAACTTCACTCAATAAAAATCTAAAATAAAAATACTGAGGAGCCTTGGTTAATGAATTTAGTCCGTTCCGGCACCGAGCTCGTCATGTGAAACGCTCATCTTGTGAAACAAATTTCCTCATTTAAAATAATGGAAATACAGTAAAATTAATCCGTTCCACCACCGAAAAACATCAATATGATATTCAATTGTTTATATTTTTTCATAGAAAATAGAGCAGCCTACCTGACATATTCTGAACGAACATTTTTTACTTTTTTTTTCAAATTTTTTCAATTTTTTTTATATTTTTTCATTTTTTATTTGTTTATAGAAAATGGAGCAACCTACCTGACATACACTGAACGAACCTTTTGACATTTTTCTTTTTTTTTCAAATTTTTTAAATTTTTATATAATTTTTCTAAAAAAAATCAATGCTTTGCAACGTTACAGCAGTCATCCCTTTACATCCTAGCATCATTAGCATCTTGTAAACAAAATTTCATTGATTTGCATTGTCGGAGGCGTCCGAGAATTTACGAGAACCAGTGGGAACGCTAAGAAGCACCACATGGTTTTCTCATGAACCAAGCGGTAGCTCGTCAGTCGAGATAAATTTTCTGTGAGTGGCTCGCTCGTTACCTGAAATGTTAGTAGATGGAGCCGCTCATCACCCGAGGTTCCTCTGTATAATCAAAATTGGTTATAATATAAAATTATAACCAATTTTTTAATTGGTTATAAATATAATCAATGTATGTACAGTGACATCTCGACTTGCGATTGCTCCCACTTACGATTTGTTTGAGTTACGATGTAGATTTGGTCGGAAAAAGCGACTCAATTTACGACCGTGTCGTCGACTAACGATATTCGTTGATACGCGTTGGGGTCGACTGAGCGCATGGTTCCTGGTGGCACAGGCAGGCCTGCATTTAGGGGTGTGGATTTTTCAGATGCATATTGGCTTGGGAACCATTCAAGCTTGTTCGCATATATATATATATATATATATATATATATATATATATATATATATATATATATATATATATATATATATATATATATAAAAATATAAAAATAAATAAAGTTGAAACCCAAGGCTGTAGTATATATTACTTTCAAAATTCATTGCTGATGTATGCTCCTAAAGTCCTATTACCTATATTTGTCAGATCCTAACAGGTGAGGATTGGAATGAAGTGATGTATCAGGGAATTGCATCCCAGGGTGGTACAAAGTCTGGTATGATCTACAGTCTTTATTTCATCATCTTGGTGATCTTCGGTAACTACACTCTCCTTAACGTCTTCTTGGCTATTGCTGTTGACAACTTGGCCAATGCACAAGAACTTACAGCTGCTGAGGAAGAACAAGAGGAGGAGGATAAGGAGGTTAGTATGAAAAAAATTGCAGATCTTTAATTATATTTGAAGATTACAGGAATGTGAGTTTGATTCTTGATTGCAATCAAGGGTTAATGATAAATAATTGTTGTAGACTGAAGTATCACAGATAAGATATATTCTTCTGGAGAAACTTATTTAACTAATTACACGTCAATGTTAAAAAAATTTAATTTCTTGTGATCGTATTCAAATATTTGGTAAATGGGAAAAATGTAGAATAAATGACATAACTGGAATGGCAGTTGACAAGAGAAGACAAAGATCATGTAACTTCTTTACATGAACTCTACCACCATGACACACTAGGTGGTCATCATCCCTTTCTCATGATTTGACATTCCATTAAGGACTTGCCCAAAACGCTATGCATGCTAGTAGCTGCACAAGAATGTAAAAACTCTTGTATATGTAACTAAATAAATATAACAAATTTGATAATGTAAGTGGAAATAATTTTGAAAATGTGAATGCAAAATGGGTATAAATTCAACTTGTCCTTTACCTAATAGATCAAATTGCTAATGGAATTGACCAATATGTCAAAATTGTGCAGTTTTAGTCAGATTATAGCACTGTAAAATATATATTTTCTGAGCATCAGTCTTGATAGGTCAGGTGGGGGTTGCCAAGACTCAAATACTTCTGTTTAGGTGAAACAATTCCAGCTTTAATGCTAATTTTCCCTGGAATTCGCCCTGCCAAATCGGTTAACAACCCGTTACCCATTCGCTGCTGGGTAAACAGAGACTACAGTACGCCCAGTAAATCCTCCCCGGCCAGGATATAAACCCAGGTCAAAGTGCTCGCGAAACGGCAGTCGAGAGTGTGTTACCACTTCACCACAGGGACTGCTTCATTACCTAAGACTTTATCTAATCTTTCTTAAAACTTTACCAGTACTCCCACTATTTCTGAATTTCTTACATATCAACACTAATCTTTCTCTGATTGGAACCCCCCCCCCCCTCAACTGATCCCTGTTTGCAAAGCACTACATAATAATAATAATAATTCATTGTGTCGGGAGGGACAGGAAGCCCTAGTGTGTTCATACACATATGGCTTATATCGAGGCTTATTTCAATGTTATTGATTTGTTTTTACTGTTATTTTGGAGTTAGATTATGAAATAGTATGTACAGTAATTTGAGAGATTTCCATAATGAATCTTGTGGAACATCGATACACACATGCAGTACATTCGTGTCACTACTATGCACACAATATTATCTTCTTTGGACAATAAAACATACTGTTGTTGCTATAATCATACTGTAATCAGACCTTATAATATCTAAATATAACATCTAGTTTAGAGGAATAAGTTTATGTAGAATTTGTTGCTCTTGGTTCGTGAAATGCATATATGGAGTTCAAAATAGGAGGGTAATGATTGAAAGGGTACTTTTTATTGTGTGTTGCACATATATGTTATATCCTTTTCTAAACTAGATAATTATCTCAGAAATGTAAAGGAAAAACATCTTTAAATGTTGAATTGTATGTTAATCACATCTTAATTGTTAGAGTCTGCTGTTCAGAATATCAGTTTTTGTCCTCTATTCAAGAAAACATTGTGAGTCTCCAATATATGTCAAGGGGGCTTAATTATAAGGCATTAATTTAACTTTGAACTTGTATACTGATTTGCATAATTTCTATATTTAACTTTTTATTATTAGTGATACAGTAATTTACATACTGTATATGCCCTTATAATTTTTAACTGAAGAACAAATACACAACACGATAGGAAATATTTTGTATGGGTTCATGGTATTTAACAGATTAAAGGGCAGGAATGTATGTTTTAATTCATATATAATGTGAATACACATTATGCCATCTGAACTGGAACCTATTCATAAGAATGGATCTTTTGCTTTGTAGGTTGTGTTTTTTATATATTGTATTAGTAAATGTTGTTCAGTGTTCTTTACAAATAGTGAGCTTTCAATTTAAACTAGATTTATAAGTGTCTTTAGGTGCTGCATCATTAACATCAATAGATATTTTATAGTACGTGTAGATTTTATAACGGCTTTTTTGCTAAAAAAGAAAAAGTGTCCTTGCTTTTGTAGGGGTAATTACTCGTGACTAAAGATAGTGTGAAACGTTTGTCAAATTTTTACTTAATTTTTTTCTTATCTCTGTCTGCCTGCCCGGAACTGACGGTAACCCCTCACACAACTACCGTCTGGCACTCGTCCACCGTTTTCGATCGTGGGCTGTGATCGATACCCCATTTTCTGTGTTAACATCAACGTGGTTGCTCATTTATATACTGTATATATTTTTCTTAATGTCTTTTGATGGATTCATTTACAATATTTTTTTTTACACAAATTGTTTGGTTTTCAACAGAGTATCAAAATATAGTTGCACAAAACATATTTCTCAGCAATATCTTGCACAAGTCATTTGTTATCTGTTACATTGGTGTCTCTGTAGTCATTATGTTGTGTAGCCATAGGAAATACTGTAGTCTTCTGAAGTAGTGCTTTTTGTTAACAATTTAGCGAATGTTGTAGGAGTATTAATATTAGCCTCACAGATACAGCCTAAATTAAGACTACTTTCTGATTTTTTTTTTTTTTTTTTTACATTTGAAAGTATGGTCTTTAGGTTTACTCTGTTGAGTTAATATGATGATGTACTCAAAGTACCCCATAGTTGGCAATGCTTCTCTGGTAGCACATTCATGATGAATGTGATAGTGCTTCTCCTGTTGACTCTGATCACTCCTGCTTTTCCTTTGTGTTAAGTCACCAAGGCTTTCTTGTTTCAGTTTAGTCATCAGTGTATCTTTTTTAATGGGCGCGTTTCCATGGTTAGAATGTTTTGTGATTTAAAAAAAATAATATAATAACTAGTTTCATTCTTAAGCTGATAAGATACAATTATATTTGTCTAACCTCAAACGCGCTTAATCCAGGTGACATTTGTAACAATGTAGAACCAGTGTCTTAATTAGCTTGTCTTTTTTCATCATGCCTGAGATTTGAGAAAGCTTCTAAACTAGTTTTAGGATATTTTAATAATAATAAAAAAAAAAGTTACTCCTAGGCTAATTTTTGTAAGGCCTGTCAAAACTGTGCCCCCTTTTCGTAAATCAATATGAGCTTCTAAATCATGCCATTTTATCAGCAAATATTTTTCGGCAGTTAGTATTACCCTGCCAGTTGTTTGTTGAGAAATTTTCTTTACTGTTTTAAGGAATGAAAAGCACGAGCTCTACTGTGAATCATCTTTTTCATGGTTCTTTTCCCTTTGCTTTCTCTGCAGTCATCAACCCCCCACCCCCCCACCCCCCTTCCATGCAAATATGTTTGATTACATTCAAGGTTGTAGAATAATCTAAAATTTCGAAATCATGAAAGGAGCATTGTATTCTTTTAGTGCTTGACCTTTCAGAATTAAGGGTGATAATGGGGGTCAAGTGCTAAAAAGTGCATTGTTGTTCACTTTGTGTTGCTGGGGTTTGTTTATAACACGTCCTCACACAAGTTTCATAGTCATACACTCAGCACTATCTTAACTTCCTTGTAGAATTGTATGTATTGTATACCAACATTTTATCTTCTCTAAGATAAAATGTGGTTGAAAATTAAATGAATGTTTAAACTTATTAAATTTGTTGAATTTTGCCATCTTTTCTGTGAAAATGATTCTGTATGTTGTTTCTTTGTGCACTTGATAGTGATACTCATTTCCACCACTTATTTCTGGTTGGTTATAAACATTGTGGACATTTGCTCTCAGATGGGTTTCGATTAATTTTACGATTTTTATCTACAGTTGCAACAACTCCCAAATCCTGAAAGTGTCATTCCCCTACAGAAGCAGCAAGCTGAGCATGAAAAAGAGTTAGAAGCACTACAAAACAACGCAGATGGACCTCCGACTGTGGAAATATGCCCTCCATCACCAGGGGGAGAGAGCAAGATGAAGTAAGTCATTTATGTTTTTATGTTAAGATAAGATGACGGTGAAAAACTTTATTCTTATTATAATTAGTTTAGTTGTGTACGTAACATTTTTGCACAAATTAAAATTTCTCTCAACTTATATTTCTTTTCTTATTTTAATGATAATGATGTAACTATTATTGTTGTTGTTATTGTTACTTTTATTTGTATTAGTGGTCTGTGATAGTGGTGATAACTTATAGTATTTCATTTATTAATTAGCAAATTTTTGTAGCTTTTTATCTTTGAAATGTTATGAGTACCCTGGTAGTTTCTTCAAATTGACTTTTAAGCTTAAAATAGCAATGTATAGTTATAATATGGAACTTCTTATTTAAATTTGGCATGGGAGCCCAATGATTGCCATTCTGAAAACTAAGTTTTTCAAAATTTGTCTTCTCTAAGAAAGAAGACAAATTTTCGATCATTATTTTTGTGTGGCATTGCAATAGTAAGTGGACAGAATTTCACCAAACTTACTACACAGATTTCCTAATGCCAGATGATGTGCTGGGTCATCTTGGTTATAATTTCAGACCCTGGAATTTCTTTGCTAGAGTCAGTTTTCTGCAATTTTAGATATTTGAGTTGCATTTTAGATTATATTTATATAAGGATGCATATCATGATATAAAGTCATATCCAGACTAAGGTCATAATATTCATATCTCTTGGAGAAAACCCCTTTAAAATATTCTTCACTGGTGCAAATACATCATCACGCTTTCCCTAAATACAAGTTGAACCAAAAATTGAAGTCGTGTTCTTGTACTCAAGATCTTGGCACTGTACATCTGGGTGTTGCAGATGATTTAAGCTCGAGAATAAGAACTTGATGCAATGCAGGTGTCTTTAAGTTGTAGAGGTTAGAATTACAGATGCAGAAGGGCCAGACTCGCTTGATGAACCATGTACAGGAGATAAAGAAAGACATGGTTTCTCAGCAGCTCTTTTGATACCTTTTTTGATTGTAACTTGTTTCATGCTCTCTCTTCTAATGTTCACAAAGATGTAATATATATTGTACTGGCTCAGCACATGTGTATATTCATTACATTCAACATTTTTTTTTTTTTTAATATTAATGCATTTTAGTTATTAAGAAGGATTATATTTAATGTAAATATTCACTTAAAATATATGAATCTTAGAAAGGTAAATATTTATATGTAAAGAACAGAAGCATAAGGAACCCAGGATTTCACAAAAATCAAGTGGTGAATTCAGGATGCAGCAGCGTTAAGAAGAGAAAATCACTGTCAGTGGATTAATAAATTGCAGTTCATAATGAAAAACTTAATATTTTTCACTGCCAACAGTGACAAGAAAGCTGGAGATGCTGAAAAGGATGCTAAAATGGACAGAAAGGAAGACGAGACAAAAGAAGAAAAAATGGAGAAAAATTATGAATCCAAAGAGGATGACAGGTCAATAAAGGAACATTATTGTACCTGTTGCTGTTCCTGCTGTCTTGTTATTCCTTATAAAGGTTGTCAGGCGTCGTCTAGACAGTATGACCTGATGTTAAAATAGTTTCTGTCAGTGCATTGACATAATCATTGATTACATAAAAAAATGATACGTCATTGATACCCTTTCAAGCTACATTGATGATAATGTGGTGCAAGGGATTTAAGATATCATCAAATCTAGTTTTACTAATGTTAATAAAATATTCACTTTAGAGCATTATTCTCCCTAAGAAATAAAATGTATTCAATTTATATTTCCTTATGTTTGAACTTGTTTTTATATCTGCCGAGATTGATAACTCGCAGATTTAAATTACGTACATAAACAGCCTATTAAGAAAGGCATACTTTGTTTAACAGCCAGAGCAACTTTACATATTTTCAAATATATTTCATGTGAAACGCTAGTCTTTTGAAATGAATTTCTCCATTTAAATTAATGGAAATAAAATTAATCCGTTCCACCACCGAAAAACATCAATATGATATTCAATTTTTTAAAATAATGGAGCAGCCTACCTGACATACACTAAATGAACCTTTATGACATTTTTTCTTTTTTAAAATTTTTTCAATTTTTTTATTTTTTATATTTGTTTTTTTGTATAAAAAATGGAGCAGTCTACCTACTTAACAAACTGAACAGTCACTGAACAAACCTTTTTAATTTTTTTTTTCAATTTTTTAATTTTTTTAATTTTTTCATTTTTTCTAGAAAATGGAGCAGCCTACCTGACATAATCTGAATGTACCTTTTCAACATTTTTATTTTTTCAATTTTTTTATTTTATTTTTTAATTTTTTATTTTTATAGAAAAAGGAGCAGACTACCAGACATACACTGAACAAACCTTTTTGACATTTTTTCTTTCTTTCAAATTTTTTCAATTTTTTTTTTATTTTTTATTTTTTTATTTTTTTATTGAAAATAGAGCAGCCTACCTGACATACACTGGATGAACCTTTTGACATTTCTACTATTTTCAGAATTTTTCATTTTTTATAATTTCTTAAAAAAAATCAGTGCTCTGCAACATTACAGCAGTCACCCCTTTACATCCCAGTATCATTAGCATCTTTAAAAAAAAGAAATTCATTGATTTGCATCATCGGAGGCTTCTGAGACTTTGCGAGAACCAGCGGGAACACTTGGAAGCACCACATGGTTTTCTTGTTAATGGAGCGGAAGCTCGTCAATCGAGACAAATTTTTGGCGAGTGGCTCGCTCGTTACTCGAAATGCTCGAAGATGAAGCTGCTCGTCACTCGAAGTTCCACTGTATACACAAATTTTTTAAGTACACTATAGACAAACAGTAGAACCTTGCTCAAATGGATTGCAGTGAGCCAGAAAGAAAAAAATTAGCCATTGCCTGTAGTGTATGGTACAAATCTGTACTCTTAAAATGTTAACAATTTATACATTTACTTCATCCAATTTTTAATATAAATATTTGTACAGTACTATTAGCATATCGAGTACTGTACAATGGCAGTAAGCTGCCAATCCAAGAGTGCTAAGAGGGAAAGTTTGATCATGTGTTGGGGGAGAGCATGGGATGGAGTTGGAGTTAGAGAGTGGCTTGTAGGTTGGTGGCAATTAAGGGTGATATAGAGGGTTGGATGGGGTTAAGGTAGTGTCAGAGGGCAGCTCCAGAAACTGTGGCATCCCACTGGCTGCCCTTATCATTCATGGGCCTGGGGCAGGTGAAACCTAATCTCATATATAGTGCCTTGTCTGATTTTCCTTTTTACATTTTCAGTTAAATGTAAAAAGGCACAAAGGTGTGTTCTTTCAAGTGCATTTTGAAAAATACAAAAGAATTGGCAAAAACTGCAAACAGTTTAGTGAAGTTTATCCTTGGTGAACCGGATAAGGTTCTAATCCCAATTAGTGCTCTTGAGCAAGGTGCCACTGTGTATATTTTTATAATATTGTACTTTTTCATGATACGCTATATGTTTATTTCTGCTCCAATCTACATGTAACCATTGTTTGGTCATGAAATAAGCATGCTAGATTATATCAAACACCTGGAGTGTTATATATTTATTAATATACAGTAATCATAAGGCAAGATTTAAAACACTGCAACTGAGTGCCTGTATAAATTATGATGAAAATACAACTTTGAAAACCCTGTACTACAGTATCGGCCTACGATTCATTATTGTTTGCTGCTGTTTTTTGTTCACATGTGCATGTATGAAAATATTAATACATAAATTTATGTTGCATGTTTAGATAAATTCCATTTGTAATTTAAAATATAAATAATTTATGTGTATAATTATTAAATTGTAATTACCTTTAAGTATTTATACAGTTTAAATATAGGTAAAATTTTCCTCTGGTGTAAATTTTGTTTTATATTTCTTTGAGATGGCCTCAGGTGGCTTCCTGGAGTTTGCCATCTATCAATTGTTTGTCAATCTTACACATATATCACACCAAACAGACCTTTAGGAGCCATAGATGCTTTCTGGAGACCAGATACAAAATCTGCTAAATTCAGTAGAGGAACAGGGAGTAGGTAATACGTGATCACCCTAACCAAGCATAAAAAAATAGTGCATTGAAACATTCAAAATTTAAAATTGAAGCACAGTTCACTATGGACACAATAGTTAGGTCATTAGTACCAATAGTTACACCTTTCCATTACCAGGTGGTGCCCCCAACAGCTCAGGAACTGACTGGCAACACCAGATTAGTCACGTGCCTCCTACGACCGTTCATTGATCTCTTTGTGTTGACATCCTCCTTCAGGGTCCTGGTTTTTCCAGATAGTCTTGGCTATCCTTTGGGCTCTGTTTGTTCTATCTATGTGTACAGTATTTGAATGGTTCAGGTCATGTACTATAATTCATAAGAGTAATGAAACGTTCTTCCGTTTCAATTACTCTTTTTCTGGGGGGAGCCCCGTCGGCTCCCCGGAGCTATCCCAGGCTGATATGCTAATGTCAGACTTTGGCATCAGTCATGTGTATGGAGTTCTTAGGCCTACCGGGGACCACGGCCAGAACCGGGCCCCCTCAGAGAGGCAAGGGGAGCAATGGCCTATAGAAGCCCCCGTGTAGTTGGAAGCATTCTATGTCTGCCATCGACCGGAACAGGCACCCAGAAAGGTAAGCGCCCCAAAACAAACCCCTATTCTGGTTAAAATTGCTACCTAATACCGAACTAGTGGATAGAACTCCCCAACCGAAAACAAGCAAATTAGTGTGACGTCACACACTGCCGCGCCGCTGTCTGCGCAGCTCCCCCCTCCCCGGGAGGGGGAAGGGGGAGCCCCAGACCCCCCGCGCCGGCTACCCACACCTCAGTTCTTGAGGCTGATGCTATAGGCGATGGTCGTGTGCTCTGGCTCCGGTGTCGCTACTGCACTGTGCTTTGAGTGTGGTGTTAGTTTTGTGGGTGCGAGAGCCAGGAGTTATCTTCAGTACTCGGGCTGCATGCGCCTAGGGCTGCCTTCCCTAGGTGCCCTGTAAGTACTGCCCTTGGGGCTTGGGGCCACCTTCCACAGGCTCCTCGGGGTCTGCCTCTGCTGGTCCGTTTTACCTTTCGGTTTTTCGGCCGCCTGTTGGGCTCTTGGGTGTTCTGTTCTCCCTTGTTACCGGCAGGTAAGAGGCAGTTTGCACTGGTAGGGGCGCAGGGTGCTGCTCAGCTTGTAATTCCCGACATCGCGGCCGGCTCTGTTCCTTGGGGTTCGCTGTCCTCTTGCGGGGTTTTGTTTTTCTTTTTGTTTTTGCCTGGTGGGGGGTTCTGTCATTTTATTCAGTTTGTTTTTGCCCTTCCACTGTTCTCCTCGGTGGCGCCCCCTGCTAGGTCCCCGTGAGTGTACACGTCCCTGGGGTTCAGCTTTAGAAGTTTGCTTGGTAGTTTTGGGCGCCGGTTTGCAGCACCCTGCCTGGGACTACCTGAGCGCGAGTCCTCTTAAAGTAAACGCTCAGGACCCTGGGAATCCCCTAGGGGGCGCGTGGGTCCGATGGATGTGACCCCGGAGTCCCCACTCGCTGTGTGCGAGTTTGAGGGTTGCTCGGTCCCCTTGTCTCAGGGTGACCCTCATTGTTTTTGCCTCTGCCACGCTGCCTGTTGGGTCGGTGATACTTTCGACCCTGAGTCCTGTGAGTGTTGCTGCTTGCTTGTGACTCAATTTACCCAATCCTCTGATGATTCTATTCGGGTACAGGCGGCACGTGCGTTGCAGTCTAGGTTTCGTCTGTTGCAACGCGCTCGGTTGGTTGCTTCCCCGGATGCCCCGGGGCTGCCCCGCTTTGCTTTTCGAGACCCGGACTTGGGGGTGGGGGTCGCTTCGATCCTGGTTCAGTCCGCACCTCCTCGTCCTTCCCCTTCTGTTCGTTCTGGTCCCCCGCCCCTGCTTCCGGCCCCGAAGCGTCTGAGGGTTTCGGGGTCGGAGCAGGGGTTACTTGATCTCGAGACTCGGGCAGCTTCGGGGGTTGCCCCTTCCGGGGGGCGGCAGAGGCATTCGAGTCTTGTCTCCCGGCCGAAGCTTCAGGGTCTGACCAGTGGGCCCCCCTTCCTCCAGCTTTTCCGGCTGCTCCGTCCTTGTCTTGTGGGGTCGGGGCTTGGGGAGAGGACTCGGCCTCGGGTCCTGTGGTGACGGACCTCGAGGCTGGGGAGGGGCTGACTTGGGGGCCTTGGGCCCCGCTGGACCCCGCCTGGGTTTTTCTTCCCACTGAGCGGGGCTTATTGTTACAAGGAGTGGGGTTTTCTTTTCCCCCCTCTGCGTACGAGTTGGATTTGGTGTCGGCCCCTCCCCGGGTACGGTTCCGTGTTCCCCCGGGTACGTCGGTTCCGTCCTTCCGGAGGTTTTCGGCTTATCGCATCCAACCTGGTGTGGTGCGAGCGGCCTTTGCAGCTTACCTCCTGCGTGACCCGGATTATGCCTCGGAAATGGATCCGTCCACGTTCAGGTTTGGGACTTCGTTCCCTTTCTGGCTCCGTTACGAGGTTCCGGAGTCGTCCTGGCTAGCAGACTGCCCCTTGTTTGGTCTGGATTCCTGGCATTCCTTCTGTCGTTCCCGCACGCTGGAGTGGCGGGAAGCTTCCACGGTGCTTCAGGTTTTCCTGGGGGGTGAACTTGAGTACCTGAATGAGTGCTTGTTTGCCCCTGCCCTTCCCCGCGATGTGGGCGTTATTCAGCTCCATGTGCAGGTTCCCTCCCTTTCGGCGGCGCTCGTGGCGGAGGACTTGCGCGCTCGGGGCCTTTTGTGTTCGGCCTTGCGGTTCTTTTCCCTCCTGGAGCTGTCTTCGGATTGGCTCGTGGAGGATGTGGGGACGCTTGGGTCCGTCCCGGGGTCCGGCACCTTGTCCTCGGCTGCGCGTTCGTCGGCTGCCTTGTTGAAGCTGTTCACGCCGATTTTGCGGGATGCGGTTTCCCTGTTCTATGCTTCCCGTCTCGCGTGTCGGCAGGCGGTGCTGGGTTCCTCCGTGGAATCTGCTTGGGCTCTGGCTCTTAGGCGTTCTTCACCTTTTTGTCCTCTCCTGTTTGGGGAGTCGGCCGTGGCGCAGTTTATTCAGGCTGCGTCGGCGGCTTGTCGTCCGATGTCGGACTTGTTGGTTTTCCGGGGGTCCCGGGGTGGGTCTTCCCGGAAAGGTCGTGCCAGGGCTCGGGGTTCCTCTCGTCGTGGTAGGCCTCTGGTGTCAGGTTTGGGGTTGGCTCCTCCTGCGGACCCTCCCTCGTCTGGTCGGCGCGGTGTTCGCGCTGTGCGGGGTTCTGGGTCTCGTAAGGGTCGCCGGCCCTTTCGCGGTTTGCCCCTTTGACGGGGCGATGGGGGGGCGGCTTGCGCTGTTCGCCCGCGCCTGGTCCCACGATTCGTGGGCCTTTCGGGTCGTGTCTCGCGGCCTGCGGTGGCGTTGGGTGGCCCCTCCCCCCTTTGGGGGGTCGGGGCTGGCAGGGCAGGCTTCTTCCCCTGCGCTCTGTCGAGTCGTCTTGGAGTGGGTACGCTTGGGCGTCGTCGAAACGACGTCGTCCCTCAGATGGGTTTCCCGTCTGTTTCCGGTTCCGAAACGGGACTGCGCGGACCTGCGGTTCATTCTGGACTTGTCCCGTCTGAACCCCTGGGTTCATTGCCCCTCCTTTCGGATGACTACGCTGTCTCAGGTTCGGCTCCTCTTGGAGCCGGGTGCTTGGATGGTGTCCCTGGACCTCCGGGACGCTTATTGGCATGTCCCGATTCATCCGCGGTTCAGGGACTGGCTCGGTTTTGTAGTGGGGCGTCTGAGTTACCGCTTTCGTTGTCTCCCGTTCGGGTTGAACCTGGCACCTCGCGTGTTCACACGCCTTACACGGGTTGTGGTGGCTCGTTTGCGTCTCCTAGGTGTTCGGGTGTTGGCCTACCTCGACGACTGGCTGGTTTGGGCTCCCAGCCAGTCAGCTTGCTTGCTAGCCAGGGATTTGGTTCTTTCCCAGCTCGCCGGGTTCGGGTTCTTGGTGAACTGGAGGAAGTCCCATCTGGTTCCCTCTCAGGTTCGGACTTGGCTGGGTCTCGTGTGGGACTCTCGAACCGCCTCCTTGTCTCTCCCTCCGGAGTCTCTCCTGCGGCTGCGGTCCCGCCTTCGTCTGTTTCTGGAGGGCCCTCGGGTCACCCGGCGGTTGCTCGAGGGGCTGTGCGGGAGCCTGAACTTCGCGATGGTGGTCTACCCGCCGGGTCGGGTTTGGCTTCGACGGCTGTTCTGGTTCCTTCGGGGTTCCCCCTTCCGCCTCTCTCGCGATCGCAGAGTTCGACCCCCGGGGGACTTGCGTCGGTTGCTGCGTCACCGGCTTCCTCTTCGGGTTTTTCGGGGTTCAGTGCCTTGGCGCCTACCCGAGCCCTCGCTCGATGTGTACACGGATGCGTCGTCTCTCGGCTGGGGTTTTGTGACCAGTGCTCACCAGGCCGGCCAGGGGCGTTGGGATCCGTCCTTTCGTCGAGCTCACAGCACGGTGCGGGAGTTCGCGGCAGTGTGGTTTGCTCTGGGGAGGATTCGGGTGGCCCGCGGATCGACGATTCGGCTCCATTCGGACTGCTCCCCGGTGGTTCATTGCCTGAACCGCGGGGGTTCGATGCGGTCCTTGTCTCTTTGAGGTTGGTCGCTTCGGGTGACTCGTCTGCTGAGCTCTCGGGGTTTGACTCTCCTGGCGGTTCACGTACATGGCGTGTCCAACATCTTGGCCGACGCCCTGTCTCGCTTCGTTCCCCTCTCCACGGAGTAGACGGTTGACGACGAGTCCTTCCGTTGGCTTTGCCAGACGTTCGGGCGCCCCGAGGTGGACCTCTTCGCGTCGGCGTGGTCACGGCGTCTTCCCGTTTATGCGGCGCCCTTCCCCGATCGTGAGGCCGTCGGGGTCGATGCCTTTCGGCTAGACTGGTCGAGGTGGGGGTTCCTGTACCTCTTTCCCCCGGTTCGGCTGTTGCTCCAGGTCCTGACTCGCTTAGAGACTTACCAGGGGAAAGTTGTCCTTCTGGCCCCTTGGTGGCCGGCCCAGCCTTGGTTTCAGGCGCTGGTTGCTCGGTGTCCGAACCCGAGGGTTTTCCCGCGGCTCCGCCTCTTTCAGCAGATCGGGCCGGTACGTCACGTAGCTGGTTCGATCTTCTCCTCGAGTCTTCGCGTATGGTTTTTTTGACTCGAGTCTATCATCATCTCTATGGTGATCAGGTGGCCTCCTTGTTGGTGTCCCACCTGAGGGCTTCTTCTCGGCGGCAGTATGAAGTTTCCTGGCGGTCCTTCCGTTTCTTTTTGCGTCTTCGTCGTGTTAGCTCCTTGTCTGTTCGGGTGGTCTTGTCCTTCCTCTCGTGGTTGTTTCAGGACCGTCATCTTATGCCTAACACTGTCGCTTCGTATCGTGCGGCGCTGGCGGAGCCGCTTCAGCTTGCTTTCGGTATCGATGTTACGTCTGCGCCGTTTCGCAAGCTGTCTCGTGCATTGTTTCACCTCCGGCCTGCTCATGCGTCGCCTGAGCCGTCCTGGTCTTTGGACAGAGTGCTCGCTTTCCTTTCATCTCCTCGTTTCGTTGTGGCCCCTTCGGTCCAGGATTGTTTTTCCAAGGCACTTTTCTTGTTGGCTTTGGCCTCTGGGGGTCGGGTAGGGGAGCTTCATGCTCTCCTCCGGCGCAGGGGTTTCTGCTCTTTTGGTCGTGGTGATAGTTTTGTTCGTTTGCAGCCGTCTCCTTCTTTTCTGGCGAAGAATGAGACTGCTGCGTTCCGGAGGGGTCCATGGGTGGTTGATGCTTGGTTGGTCAGGCCGGGGGTGCATCATGTTTTGTGTCCGGTTGCGGCGCTTCGCCGTTATTTGCGCGCCACAGCTTCTGTGTCCGGGGACGCGCTGTGGGTTGATCCGGTTTCCCTTCTTCCCTGTTCGCGGGTTCGGGTCTCTCAGGTCGTCCGCAGGGTTATTAGGTCCAGCCAGCCTGCGGTCTATCCCCGTGCCCATGACGTTCGTAAGTTCGCGGCTCTTGCTGCCGTCTTTGGGAATATGTCTTGGTCTGATATTCGGGCGCGGGGATTTTGGCGGTCGAACAGGGTCCTGGCTGCTCGTTACCTTGTGAATGTCCCTGGGCCTCGTCGGGCCTGTGTTGCTTTGGGTCGGCGGTTGCAGCCAGTTGTCTCGGCTTCGAGTTGAGGGGTGAGCGACGACCGCCTCCCGGGTAAGTCCCTCTTTTTCTGTCTGTGGGTAGTTAGCTCCGGGGAGCCGACGGGGCTCCCCCCAGAAAACCAGCGTTGAATGTAATGAAACGCCATTTTCTGGGTGAGTCCCGGAGGCTCCCCGGCATCCCTCCCTCCCTCCGGTCGGCGGTTTTTCGCGTTTTTGACATCCAGCCTCAAGAACTGAGGTGTGGGTAGCCGGCGCGGGGGGTCTGGGGCTCCCCCTTCCCCCTCCCGGGGAGGGGGGAGCTGCGCAGACAGCGGCGCGGCAGTGTGTGACGTCACACTAGTTTGCTTGTTTTCGGTTGGGGAGTTCTATCCACTAGTTCGGTATTAGGTAGCAATTTTAACCAGAATAGGGGTTTGTTTTGGGGCGCTTACCTTTCTGGGTGCCTGTTCCGGTCGATGGCAGACATAGAATGCTTCCAACTACACGGGGGCTTCTATAGGCCATTGCTCCCCTTGCCTCTCTGAGGGGGCCCGGTTCTGGCCGTGGTCCCCGGTAGGCCTAAGAACTCCATACACATGACTGATGCCAAAGTCTGACATTAGCATATCAGCCTGGGATAGCTCCGGGGAGCCTCCGGGACTCACCCAGAAAATGGCGTTTCATTACATTCAACGCTGGTTTTTTTTAAATATGACGACATGGGAGGGCCAAAACCCATGTTACCATATTCATCCATGTTCATCCTTTCACCCACAAATCCGTGAGTACAGTATTTGATATTTGTTACTGTATATATGACTGACTTTTTCTCAAATTTATCAGCACTTGTCTTATTTTGGTGTCCCTGACTTTTTCTGCATAGCAGTTACAAAAGTAGCACATAATAATTACTAAATTATTATAATTAAAACATAATAATTCACATGCACATAATAATTTTATTTGATCGTTAAGTGAATCAAGGAACTTTTGGTTCTCCTACCTAACAGATTAAAGCAATTTTGATTCTTTGAATTACAAAGAATTGTAATTATGACGAAGAAAGGATCATACCAACAGATTGTGCTCAATGAAAATTGTTGAAAAGTTTATGATGATATATATAATTTGTTTAAAAAAATATCATAGTACATTGAGAACTCAGAAGATGAGAACTAGGTAAACACATACTAGTAAGTATTTGACGAGTCATATAGGAGAAGGGGCTCAGTGAAATTTAATTATGCAAAATAGCAGAAATAATTATGATAATAGTGTTTTGGGACAGATGAGACTAAAAATAGAAATAAAGCGAGAGACTGAGTCAAATTGTTTAGTTGCCTAGAAACAATACAACATTTTGATAAACAAAAGGCAGGGTGACAATCAGCCAAGCCTGCTATATTAATATTTTCTGCTAGATACTATGAGCTGGCAGTGATAATATAAATGATTCATATGCATGTGCAAATCTATGCAAGGCATATATATAGTATTCTATATTCACATACCTCATGCCGAATGGTCTCTCCAGCCAGGGTCATGCCTTTGTGCCTTGTGCTATCACTGATAAGTCACTCTATATAATTCTCTTGAGTTCTTTTTTTTCAAGCACTGTTGAAAGTAGGGAAGGGAAATCACTAATTGGACTAGTCCAGAAACTATAAGCAAACTAATATGAAATAGCAATTGATAAAACTGTCTTGTAAACTATGAGCTTATGAAAAAACAGGCTAACAAATATCGTAGTACAGTTGCATTTTCTTATTAATATGCACTGTTGTGATAGATTTTAATTTTCAGAATTCGAAGAGCAGCGCATTGGGTAGTAAACCTGCGCTACTTCGACTTTTTCATCATGATTGTCATCAGTTTATCAAGTATTGCCTTGGCCTCTGAGGACCCTGTCAGAGAGGACTCAGAATGGAATGAGATCCTCAATTACTTTGATTATGCCTTCACAGGAGTTTTTGCCATAGAGATGATTCTAAAAGTAAGTTACAGATACTAACATTTATAGGAAATAGGATTATTTATAATACAGTAGTCTAATTCATTCTTAATTTTTTAGACTATATAAAATATTTCTGGGGGGAGCCCCGTCGGCTCCCCGGAGCTTTACCGGCTGATATGCTAATGTCAGACTTTGGCATCAGTCATGTGTATGGAGTTCTAGGGCCTACCGGGGACCACGAGCCAGAACCTGGCCCCCTCAGAGAGGCAAGGGGAGCAATGGCCTATAGAAACCCCCGTGTGGTTGGAAGCATTCTATGTCTGCCATCGACCGGGTCAAGCATCCAGAAAGGTAAGCATTCCAAAACAAACCCCTATTCTGGTGAAAATTGCTACCTAAGCCGAACTAGTGAATAGAACTCTTCAACAGAAAACACGGAAACTAGTATGACGTCATACGTCACCGCGCCGCTGTCTGCGCAGCTCCCCCCTCCCCGGGAGGGGGAAGGGGGAGCCCCAGACCTCCCACGCCGGCTATCCACCCATCAGTTCTTCGGCTGATGCTATAGGCAATGGTTATGTGCTCCGGCTCCAGTGGTTGTTTCAGCACTGTACCTAGAGTGTGGTGTCTGTTTTCTAGGTGGTGCGTGAGCCGGGTGTGATTCTTCAGTACTCGGGCTGCATGCGCCTAGGGTTCCCTTCCCTAGGTGCCCTGTAAGTACTGCCCTTGGGGCTTGGGGCCACCTTCCACAAGTTCCTTGGGTCCTGCCCCTGCTTGGCCGTTTACCGCTTGGTTTTCGGCCGCTCTTTGTGTGCTCGGGTGTTCTGTCTCCCTTGTTCGCCTTAGAGTAAGGGGCAGTGTTTGCACTGGTGGGGCGCGGGGTACTGTGCAGCTTGTCTTTACCAATCATAGCGGCCGGCTCTGTTCCGCTTGGGTACGCTGTCCTCTTGCGGGGTTTTCTTTTTCTTTTGTTTATATACCTGGTGGGGGGGTCTGCCTTCGTTCTTGCCCCTTGTGTCCCTTGTGTTCTGAGTATTTCTGGTGGTACCCCCTGCTAGGTCCCCGTGAGTGTACACGTCCCGGGGGTTCAGCTCTTAGAAAGTTGTTTGGTAGCTTGGGTGCCGGTTAGCAGTACCCTGCCTGGGATTACCTGAGCGCGAGTCCTCTTAAAGTAAACGCTCGGGACCCTGGGAAACCCCTGGGGGCGCGCGGGTCCGATGGATGTGACCCCAGAGCCCCCCCCTCGCTTCCAGCGAGTTTGAGGGTTGCTCTCACCTTTTGTCTCTGGGTGACTCTCTGTTTTGCCTCCGTCTGCTGCCTGTGGGGTCGGTGACACCTTCGACCCGGTGTCCTGCGAGTTTGGTTGCTCGTTGTGGCTCGGTTACCCAGTTGTGCTAACAAAGCGGGTGCGGGCAGCAGGGGCGTTGCACTTGAGCCTTGGTGGTGGCAACGTTCTCGTGGTTTCCTCCCCGGGAGCCCCGGGGCTGCCCCGTTGTATTTCGTTTTTCCCCTGGTTCACCCTTCCTGCCTGCATCCGGTTCCTTACCGTCTGTAGGTTCAGGGCGGGGTGTTTGGTGGTGTTGAGACTCGGGCAGTCTCGGGGAATTCCCCTTCCGGGGTAGTGACGGGGGCATTTGGGCCTGTTCCTCCAGCCGTGTTGTATGAGTCTGCCAGTGGGCTCCCTTCCTTAGTGTTTTCACGGCTGCCCCGGTTTTCTGGTACGGCCGGGGCTTTGGGGGAACGGCTCGGCCCCGGGGCCTGTCGTGTAGGTTCCCGGGGCTGGGGAGGGGCTGACTTGGGGGGCCTTGGCCCCGTTAGACCCCGTGGGGGGTTTTATCCCCCTCTAGGCGGGGCTTGTGGTTACGCGGAGTGGGGTTTTTCCTCCCCACTCGCCGTACGTGCTGTTGGACGTCGGCCCCTCCCCGGGCTCGGTTCCTTGGCCTTTGAGTCGGTTGGTTCCGTCCTGTGGGTGGATGTTTCCTCCCCCGCTTTTTGGGACGGTGTTTTTGTCATGTTTCCCCGTTCGATGGGGTTCTGCGTGACTTTTGATCTCGGGTGCGCCTGCGCCTTCGTGTGCCTTCGGGACTAGTGTTGGCTTCTGTGTTCTCGAGGGTACGGGAAGGTTTTTCGCTACTTCCCGCATTATTGGAACGTCTGTCGGCTCCTAGTACTTGTCGCCCTGTTGGGCTACTTGTCGCCCTGTTGGGCTACTTGTCGCCCTGTTGGGCTACTTGTCGCCCTGTTGGGCTACTTGTCGCCCTGTTGGGCTACTTGTCGCCCGGTTGGGCTACTTGTCGCCCGGTTGGGCTACTTGTCGGCCGTTTGGGCTACTTGTCGCCCGTTTGGGCTACTTGTCGCCCGTTTGGGTTCCCTTTTTTTTTGGGCTCTTTGCTTCTTTGGCCGGTTTTCTTGTTCCTGCTTCCTCTTTTGGCTCTTTTTCTCGTGCAATAGTCCTGGCTGGCGCCTTCCCGCAGGGAGGGTGTGCGGTTCGGCCAGCGTGTTATGCGCATGCGCCGTGGAGTTTGTTTTGGTCTGGGCGATGGTTCAGTGCTGGGGTTTTGCGCCCTTTTTTGCTACAGTGCTTCGCCTCTCGTTCTTCTCCCTGGCTGCGGTATGTGCCCCTTTGCGCCAGGGGTGTCCTGGTTCCCAGTTGTGGGGAGGACACCGCGGTTTTCTGTGTCATGGGTGTGGACCGCCTCCTTCGCCTCTCCCTGTTCTCCTGCGGGTCCGGCTCTGGCGTCTTCACCTGGCGGTGCTCCCAAGTTCTTCTGGGCACGGTTGAGTCGTGTCAAGTTCGAGCCACCATTCGCCAGGTGAGTTTCTGCGGTCTGGCGTCTTTTGGCCGGGCGCTGGATGCGGCGGTGTTCATATACCTGTCTTTATTTAGGTATAATTTTGTACGACTGAGACCGTTCGCACACCAGTGACTGTCCCTTTATCACCCCTTCCTGTCCCCCTCCTGTGCATGTCCAACCCATGCTACAGTCGTTCAGGGGACCCTCCTTTTTTAATGTTGTGAGGTGTGGGGGTTGTAGGGTTGGTTCTGTACTCACCTGGTGAGGCTCCTGGCTGTGCTTGCAGGATTTGAGCTCTGGCTCTTGGGTCCCGCCTATCTGGTAGAACTTGCGGGATAGTACCAGTGGAGTGCAGTGGTGCTATTGGCACTTTTGGGGAACACTGTATTACCATCAGTGGTCTGTGCTTGTTACACGATCTACTTGCGAGCATAAGCCTTCTTGCTGGTTCGTCCGTGGACTTCCAGGGCGCACTGGCCTGTTTTCGTATGGCAGTTCCGGCCCGTCCTGGTTGTGGGGGTATGTGGGCCGGTGGACTGCTCCTAGCAGCTGCCTGGTGGGCCATCCTCTGGCCGGTCTGGCCTGACCTTGGGCCGGGCTTGAGGTGTAAAAGAGCTCCCAGTACCTCATCCAGCAGGTATCGAGCGGGGTTCTCCGCCGTCGGTCGCCTGGTGCAGGTTTCTGGGCCTGCAGGGTTTTGTCGTGTCTCCGTTGGCCCTGTCTGGGGTCTGCCTGCTCCGTTCTCTGCCTTTGCAGAGGGGAGTTGCTATTTACATGTTGCATGTTGCAGTGGTGCCTGTTGCTGCTGCTGCTGCACGTGAGCATTGGTACCGTGTTTCACGGTGGCGTGTCCTTGTTCCTGTGTCCGGTTGTGGAGTGGCGCTTTGCTGCCGTTTTGTGCCTGGGGATTGCGTGGGGTTTTTGTCCCTGCCTGATTGTCCACCCCTGGTTGTTCTCCTGTTTTTTTTTTTTTTTGTGCTTCTGCTCTTTCTTCCTGCCTCTTCTGCAGCAGGAATGTTCTGCGTGTGTTCTTAGGCGTTGGTCAGCCTGTGTCCTGTGATGTGCTTCTTTGTTTCGGTCTGTTGCAGTTGTTCGGGCCCCTTGGTTCGGGTCCTGTTCTGGCGGCGACCCTTCCGCCTTCTTTGGTTTTCCTAGCTTGCCCTGCCGGTTGTTGTTGTTGTTTTAATTTTTTTGGGGGGGTTCTTGCGATGTCTCGCGTCGGACCCGTCGTTTCTGAACTCCTGGCGGGCTTGCATGCTTCGGAGTTTTTCTGTTCGGCAGACGTTCCATCTCCTTGTGCCGCCTGGGTTTCGGTGGTCGCGCCCGAGATCTTCTCGCGGCTCCGCCTTTTTCCTGGGCTCGGGGGGGCCTTGTCGGGGCTGCTTATGTTCTGCCTCGTGGTCTCGCCTCCGGTTGGTGGTCGGGTGGCTTCGTGGTAGGTGTCCCACCTGCGTGCTTCTTGGCGGCAGTATGGGGTATTTTGGCGGTCCTTCCTTTTCCTGTCCCTTCTTCGGTGGGTCCTTCTTGTTGGCTTGGTTTACTCTCGGCTTGGTTTTCTAGTGGGGGTTGGGGGCCGTCGTCTTGCCACATACTGTCGCCTCTTTTCGTGCGGCGCAGGCGGAGCCGCTTCAGCTTGCTTTCGGTCTTGGTGTTGCTTCTGCACCGTTAGTCAGCTGTCTTGTGCGTCATTTCACCTCCGGCCTGTTCGTGCGCCGCTTGCACCATCCTGGTCTCTGGTCAGCGTGCTCTGTCTTCTCCTCGGTTGGTAGTGCCCCTTCGGTTCCGGTGTGTTTTTTCGTCGGCTCTTTCCTTTGGGCCTTTGCCTCTGGGGGTCGGTTCGCTGTGTTTTCTTGCTCCTTCGGTTTTAGCGTTTTGGTTGTTTGATGGCAGCAGTCTCCATCTTTTCTGGCGCGGGGTGGGGCTGCTGCATTCTGGAGGGGTCCAGGGTTTGTTGGTGCTTTGTTTTTGAATAGTGATTTAGAAGATTATACACAATATCTAAAGTATTTGTACACACACACACACACATACACATGATTAGTTTTACTTACATTAAGCTGAGTTAAGGAATAATTAGGATAATTGTATTAGATCAGATTGTAAAAGTTATGTTTAGTTTAAGTTTATAAGTAAACATATCAGTGTTGTGGTAATGCATTAATGCACCATATGATCTGAATATCCTGAAATCATTTCTCTAATCATTAATTATCCAAGAGGATGATGCATCTTGGGCATCCAATG